GGGGGGGGGGGGGGGGGAAAGACACAGCGTTCGCATGCTCGATCAGGCGCGCGTGGCTGATTGTTTCGTAGAAACAACTCAAGTCCAGGTATAAAGTAATACGATGCTCCGAGACGGAGTGAGTACACTCATACTGGATGAGGCGACGCACCGCCACGTCGAGACATGAGAAGCCAGGGCCACAAGAGTCCCACCACGCTTCTGCTGCGAACTTCTCCTGCCATTGCTGCAGCAGCGACCATCTCAATTTCATCCATGCTTTGAGCAGCACATGCATCAAAGCGATGGGCCTTTCGATGTCGCTGTTCTTTGGAAGAAGAACCACCAAAGAAACGGCCCACTGAGCGGGGAAATCCCCACTGAGCTCAGAGTGCCTGATGACGCCGGCAAGCTGACAGCACTGTTCCAGGCTAAGGGCTCTGGCGACATGAGCCGTCCAACCATCGGGCCCGGGAGCCTTGAGCGGAGTCCGCTTCAAGTACTGCGCAATGCGCTCACCTGAGAGGGCCGGAAGCTCGCTGGCCTGTGCGCAAGCCCTTTGTCTGAGGGCGTCGTGAGTGAGGTCCGGGGCGACGCCCGTGCTGCGCCACAGTTGCGCCCACTGCTGCAGCCGGAGCAGCAGCTTGCTGGCTGCGGAGAAAGTGGCGAAGGGCCGCTCCACAGCGGCCTCATATTTGCGCAAGCACTTGAACAAAGGCTTCAGGCTGCCGGAACTGCCGGAGCTGAGCCACCTCTCGTAATCCTCCTTGCTGCGGCGGTTAACCTTTAACCTGCAAAGCGCAAGCTCCTGAGTGATGGAGTGGGAGGCGAAGTCGCGTTGCTCCGGCGTGATGCGGACCTGCTCCCCAGGCAGCTGGCAGGACTCTAAGCCTAATGCCTCCGCCCACTCCGGAAGGGGCTCCTCGCCTTTTTCGTCTCTGACGAACTCCACCACATGCTGGAGGAGATCTTCAGGCACAGGTTTCTGGACATCAAGCCCCTTGACGCTGCGTGCGATGAGGCTGAGAAGAGCGTGCGGTTTCCCGTGCCATCTTTGGGCCTGCTGGTCGTCCCTCAAGACGGGCTGATAGACGATGGGCACATTAGCCCCGCGCCCTTGGACGCTACCGAAGATTGACAGCTCCACAGAGCCCGAGAAGACTGCAAACTCCGTGGTGGCGAGGTTCTTAGGGAGCGGCACACCTCCTACTGCGGGCGCGGGACTTTGGAGCGTCCGCAGAGGATCAAACTGAGGCACGCACTCGGAGGGGGTTGCAGGTGCGGCCTCAGTGGGAGGGGTGACCCCAGTCCCTTTAGTTGGCCCGCGGCCACCTTCAGCGGAGGACGCTGTTTGGGGGCTCGGGAGGACTTCAGGTGGCTTGGCGAAACCTTTGAGGGTGGGGAGGCTGAGAAGGCCGTGCGCGAGGTCGACATCCAAAAACAGGGCGAAATGGGGGGCGAAAGGCACCACCTTATCGACCCTAAGATGGATCAGTCCCGCCACTGAGCGGCTGGCCAAAACGTAGTCCAAAGTGTTGCCGGACTCCAAGGCCGCCTCCCTGCTGCCAAGGAGGACCCCACGCGCAGTCTCGGCTATGTGGGTGCTAGCCACTTTGTCCATGTCAACGTTCCAGTCACCTGCTACCAACCAATTGGGGATGCGCTGCAAAAGTGCAAGCAGTTCCGCCAGGATGGTGGTGTTGGGTTCGGCTTGCAGACCAGTGCTGCTTTTGAGGTACACCGAAACGATGACCAAACGCCATTTAACCCTAGGAAGTTCGATGGCTAGGAACCCGCATCCTTCGACGCAGAAAGAACGGACCAGCCTTGGATGCGCTTGCCAGGGTGTGGCGACCACAAGACCCCCTTTGCCATGGTTGGCTGCTGTGGCTCCCGCCCAAAAGGAGTGGAGCCCGACTCCATTAAGGGCAGCCTTGGCCTTTGCCTCCTGCTCAAGAGTGAGGTGCGTTTCCTGAGCGAGGAGGCAGGTGGCTCTTGTTTGTAGATACCACTGGAGGATCTCCGGCCTCCACTTGGTCACATTGGCAACCGCCAGCGTGAGTGGCTGTTGTCGGCCGTCAACATAACTCTCACTAGCGATGTCTGCGAAGGCTGCAAGGGTTGGGAGGTCCAGTGGCCCTGGGGTGCCCGAGCAATGTTCAAGGACTTGCCAGGCGAGGAGGCTTTCAAGCGTCTCGTCAGGGAGTTTCTCCTCCTCGATCCGCTCCGCATACTCCAAGGCGGCCGTGTGAAGCTGCGGGTCGTCGGCGGAGCGGGTGCGGAGGACTTCCGCGAGCTGCCTGAGGTGCGGGTCTGCCTGCTTGGCTTCCCTATTGCGGGCGCGACGTGCGCGGCGACTTTTAGTGCCGCCTGAGGTTTCGATCTTCCCAGGCTGCGAAGCATCAGTGCGACCACTGTGGTTACGCAGTGGCAAGCGGCTGGCTCCACCCTGTCTGGGTTGCTTTGAGGGCACAGGGCAACTGGGACTCGAGTCCAAGGGTTGGCACCTTTGGCCCTTTCCTAGCGTGCCAAGAGAGTGAGTGAGAGAGCTGCTGCCGTTGCTTCTCCCTGACTGCACGCCGTCTGCGACGGGAGGCCCTGAGGTAGTCGCACAGGGAAACTCGATCTGGTATCCCTAGGATGCACAGCGAAAAGCGTGCCGTAGTTACGCTTGCGGGCGCCTGCTGTCTCCCACCGCAGCAGGGCTGGTGCACCTTGAAAAACTTTGCACTCGGCACAAAATAAGCGCTCACTGCCCAAGTCAACAAGACTATGCCCGCAGTGGCGGCACAACGCGCCCTTTGGATGTTCGGCGCTACCTATGGCGGGTGGGGTACCACTGCCGCGCTTTCTAAGGAAGATTTCCTGCCTAGAGAGGCCGATCAAAACTGAAAAGGAGTCCTGGAGGTCAGCAGGCTCCTTGGCCAAGTCTAAAAGCTGCCAGGTGGCCATGGGCCCTGCGCTTGCCAAGGGGCTGGCAGCGAGCCCTTGGCCTCTGCACCCCTACTCGGGGTTCTCGTTGACGCTGGTCGGTCCTTCAGGCTTTGCCCCCTCGAGGGGGTTAGGCCGCCTGCCATGCGCATCAGTCCGGGTAGGGCGGTAGGCTCCGGGTATCTCTCTAGGAAAAAACTCGGCCGGCCCATTGAAACGCGCAAGGAAGGGGTCCTCGCAAAGGTCTTCCTTGCCAACCAGCGCTGCCTTCATCTTGGCGCGAGTGGCCTCTGAGAGCTCATGCCCCGCGTCGGCAAGGACGGATTCTAGGGCACTGAAAGCTGTGCTCGTGGAGTCCGCCGTCATGTC